CCTCCTAAGCCAGGGATTGTGGGTTCGAGTCCCATCTGGGGTGTCTTTCAGCAGAGTGGCGCAGAGGAAGCGTGCTGGGCCCATAACCCAGAGGTCGATGGATCGAAACCATCCTCTGCTAATGTGAAGACTTTTTGAAAGATAAAAGACTATCACAAATCACTGGAAAATGGACCAGTGATCACAAATAGTAAGAACTCAAGAATAACGCACAAGAAAAAGAGGATACCACCAGGATTCATCGTGGCCCTTGACCCTTTAACCTTAGATTCCAAGGATTTTAAAAAGTCCTTTGTGTAAATCTGGCACAGTCTTTTGTTTGCAGTAGGGCACGCACAGCCCCAGTGGCCTAATGTCTAACACACTGGCCTCCTAAACCATCATTCAGCAGAGTGGCGCAGAGGAAGCGTGCTGGGCCCATAACCCAGAGGTAGATGGATCGAAACCATCCTCTGCTAATGTAAAGGCTTTTGAGGAAACACTGGGGAGTTTTATCATAGAAAACTAAATTAAGGGAAATATAAAATAACAGCACTGGGTAGTTTCAGGATGTTCAACACATAAACCGTTTTGAAAGATAAAATGATATTGCAAGTCACTGGAAAATGGACCAGTGATCAGAAATAGTAACAACACAATAGAAGCTCACAAGCTTAAAAACAGGGTAAATTCAGCGAGGCCTTTGACTCTGTAACCTTACATTCCAATGGGTTTTAAAAAGCCCTTTGTGTAAATCTGCTGCAGCCTTTTGTTTGCAGTAGGACACATACAGTCCCAGTGGCCTAATGGATAATGGCCTCCTAAATGAGGGATTGTGGGTTTGAGTCCCATCTTTCAGTAGAGTGGTGCAGCTGAAGGGTGCTAGGCCCATAAGCCAGAGGTTAATGGATCAGAAACATCCTCTTCTAATGTAAAGACCTTTGAGAAAACACCAAAGACTCTTATAGAATATAATCCTATGGAAATCTAAATTAATGGAAATTTAAAATAGTAATAACAGTTTTGGGTAGTTTCAGGATGTTCAGCACACAAACCACTTTGAGAGATAAAATAATATCACAAATCACTGGAAAATGGACCAGTGATCAGAAATAGTAACATTACACACACAAGCTTAAAAACAAGATATTTTGAAAGATAAAATGCAAATTACCAGAAAATGAACCAGTGATCACAAATAGTAAGAACACAATAGTAACGCACAAGAAAAAGAGGATACATTCATCGTGGCCCTTGACCCTTTAACCTTAGATTCCAAGGATTTTAAAAAGTCCTTTGTGTAAATCTGGCACAGTGTTTTGTTTGCAGAAGGGCACGCACAGCCCCAATGGCCTAATGTCTAACACACTGGCCTCCTAAACCAGGGATTGTGGGTTTGATACTTGTCTTTAACATTACAGACACAAGCTTAAAAACAGGATGAACCGTAGACCTTGACCCTGTAACATAAGATCCCAGTGATGTCAGGAAATCCCTTGATAAAATCTGCCACACTATTATGTTTACAGTGTGGCACACACAGCCCCAGTGGCCTAATGGATAAGGCACTGGCCTCCTAAGCCAGGGATTGTGGGTTCGAGTCCCATCTGGGGTGCCTTTCAGCAGAGTGGCGCAGAGGAAGCGTGCTGGGCCCATAACCCAGAGGTCGATGGATCGAAACCATCCTCTGCTAATGTAAAGACTTTTGAGGAAACACAGGGGAGTTTTATCATAGAAAACTAAATTAAGGGAAATATAAAATAACAGCACTGGGTAGTTTCAGGATGTTCAACACATAAACCGTTTTGAAAGATAAAATGATATTGCAAGTCACTGGAAAATGGACCAGCCATCAGAAATAGTACTTAAAAACAGGGTAAATTCAGCGAGGCCTTTGACTCTGTAACCTTACATTCCAATGGGTTTTAAAAAGCCCTTTGTGTAAATCTGCTGCAGCCTTTTGTTTGCAGTAGGACACATACAGTCCCAGTGGCCTAATGGATAATGCACTGGCCTCCTAAATGAGGGATTGTAGGTTTGACTCCCATCTTTCAGCAGAGTGGCGCAGAGGAAGTGTGCTGGGCCCATAACCCAGAGGTCGATGGATCGAAACCATCCTCTGCTAATGTAAAGACTTTTTGAGGAAACACTGGACACTCTTATTATAGAAATCTAAATTAAGGAAAATTTTAAAAATAACAGCACTAGGTAGTTTCAGGATGTTCAGTACACAAAACATTCTGAAAGATAAAATGATATCGCAAATCTGATTAAAGCCTTCTGTATCTGACACAAACACCTGGTTGCAGGGGCAGAGTACCTCATGTGGATACCTGTTAGATCAGTCACACTTATTCTGCATAAACGCTGCTAATTTAGATACGAAATGTGATTCTTGTATTAGTTTGTCAGTTTAGATTTCAGGCTTTTTGTCAGTTCTTCAATTTACTTGTTTAAAATGTGAACTTTGAACAAAATCGGCAAGTCACAAGCCTATTGGCGAAGCTCGTGAGAAAAATCGCAATTGGATATTTTCCCTAAAAGGTTCAGTCCTACACTATGACATGTGAAATACTTCTTTAACAATACCAGCCTCCTTCAAACAGCACAAACCAGCTTCAAAACGCCCTGTCCCCTGCTTCTGATGATGATGATGATGATGATGATGATGATGCTGGTCACATTTTGTTCCCTGTAGTTTGTGGGATTACACGGAAAGAGCCAGGCCCATTTTCAGCGCAGAGGGCAGAGACGGCAGGAGATGTAGTGTTGTCACCATACTAACATTTCAAGCTTCGTTTTGATACTAGGGAATAGATCGATACTCAAGACTGATTCTGATACCACAAATTAAGGCAAGGCAAGGCAAGGCAAGTTTATTTGTATAGCACAATTCGTACACAAAGTAAAAAGTGTTACAGAAATACATTAAAAATCATAATAAAAACAAATCAAAACATAAATAATCATGAAGATTAAAATTAAAAAGAGAGACATAAATTGGAGAAAGAGTGCGGATGAAAACCTTTCAGTTATATGCACAGTTAAACAGAAATGTTTTGAGCCTGGATTTAAACAGCATCACAGAAGAGGCCTGTCTCACATGTTCAGGAAGACTGTTCCAGGTTTTAGCTGCATGAACCTGAAACGCTGACTCCCCTTGTTTAGTTCTGACTCTGGGCACCAGCAGGAGGCCGGTCCCTGAGGTCCCAGAGTGCGAGATGGTTCATATGACACTAACATGTCCAGATGTACTTTGGGCTCGGCCATGAGAGACTTGTACACAAGTAGAGCTGCTTTAAAGTCTATTCTCTGAGGCACAGGAAGCCAGTGCAGAGATGAGCACAGGACTTATGTGCTCGTACTTCCTAGTTCGAGTAAGGACCCGAGCTGCAGCGTTCTGGATGTTCTGCAGCTGTTTCACAGCTCGTTTGGAGAGACCAGTGAGCAGACCATTACAGTAGTCTAACCTACTGGAGACAAACGCATGGATAAGTTTCTCCAAGTCTGCTTTTAGACAGTAAACCTTTGATTTTTTGCTATGTTTTTTAGATGGTAAAAAGGCTGCAGATGTTATTGATTTTATGTTGACTGTTAAAGTTCAAGTCTGAGTCCATTATTACCCCGAGATTTCTTGCTGATTTGAAGGTTTTAGAGAGAGAGACTGGAGACTGCTGACACTGTCCCTTTGTTTCTGGGACCAAACACTATGACTTCAGTCTTGTCAGAGTTTAGCTGGAGAAAGTTGTTTTGCATCCACCACTGATCTGTTGGATGCAGTGACCAAGTGACTCCACTGTCCATAGTCTCCTGCTGCCAGAGAGACGTAGATCTGAGTGTCATCTGCATAATTGTGGTTACGACACGTTATTGCTGCTTATTAACTGGCCTAATGGCAGCATGTAGAGATTTGAACAACAGGGGGCCCAGGATTGACCCCTGAGGCACCCCACAGGTCAGGGCCATGTCATTCTGAGACACAGTTTCCAATTTCAACAAAATACTTCCTGTCTCTAGATAGACTTGAACCATAGCACAGTCTGCCCACCCAGTCCTCTAGTCTCTGTAAGAGGATCCCATGATCGACAGTGTCAAAAGCAGCACTCAGATCTAAGCAGCAAATTAAATGGTAGTACTTTCTTTTCTATTCCAATAGGCGAGTTTCAGCTGACGTCATTGTTATTAAAAGCCCGCGTTGCTGCTGGGAAATATTTTGGTCGGAGGCAAGAAACACGGTAGCGTCAAACACAGTGCGTAACCTCACGTATTTACCCCCGATAAAGGTAAATTCCTGCTGCATTATCAGATGCACAAATAGAAGCACGGAAGAAGGAAAATGTCTTTTTCGTATTCTGAGTGAAAAGAACCGCTAACGGTGAAATTAAACGGCTTTCAAACATCCGCAGAGCAAACGTAGAAGATCCTAACAAACCGTGGACTCCAACAAGTTCAACAACACATCGAGACTCTTGGAGGTTTTCATCTTTTCTGCTGTGAATGGCCCAGGAGTTTCCACCAAGTCATTGTGGATATCGCCCAAGTGAATATTTGTCCAGGTAGTTGGTGATTCCAACCAGAAATTTGGTTTGGTCCACCTTTTGTCGGGGTTGAAAAGGGTGATTTGTCGTCCGTCGATGCTTATGACCAATTTTTGATCAAATCATCTTCGGTCCTCTGCCGTTAGAGTGGATAAATAACCGGGATCAATACCCTTTACGTGCTTTCTCGCTCCGTCCGTCATGTTGAATTAGCGTTTCTTGCCGCCGAGCAAAATAATTCCCAGCATGCAACGCGCGCTTTTGTCAACAATGAAACTCGCCTATATGGTCCAAAGTGTGTAATCTCTCAGTGGTCCAGGGAGGTTCCACAGTGCTCCATACTTCGAGATCATTCTAAAGCGCTTCAGGAAAATGTCTGTCCTGTGAGTGTGACTTTTTTTTTTTATCGATATCTGCTCAGATACATGCAACACTGTCTGATTTTCGACAACCGTACGGAGATGGCAAAGACGTTGGACTCACGGAAGGCGATGTAGAACTCGTGCAGACTGAGGTGGCCGTCGTTGTTGTAGTCGTCGTAGCGGAGCAGGTCCTGCATGGTGCACTCCAGAAGGCTCTCGTCCAGGTGCTCCTTCACACGGATCTGAAACACAACCGGCGTTTTAAAAAACAGCTTCAAGTGCACATGACAGTAAAACATAGGCTAGTTACTGTATTTGAGATGGAACTAAGTCATTGTTTTTCATTTTGTTGAAGGTTATTAATTGTTTTACTTCAGGGTTGGACATGGGCGGTGATGTGACATATGTACAACTATTGTCTAACACCCATACTGGAAACAAGGGGAGAGGGTCGGCAATTACCATGGAGACACATTGCACACATTAGCATACAGATGACGTCTGATGTAGGGTGACCAAACGTCCGTTTTTCCCTGGACATGTCCGTATTTTGCGTCCTGTCCGGGGCTTCCTGTTTTGTTTTGTTTTTTAAGTGATGCAAATGTCCGGGTTTTATTGCCGTTCACTGGGGACATTAAACTGTGACTCAGAAGGAGCGAGACACAAACAGTCGGTCAGTCTGCAACATGTCACATGTAACGGTACTAGAAATTCTCCGTTTTCCATCGCGGTCGGGGCAAGTGAGAGGCCATGTGCACAGGTTGCGAAGTGTGGTCCCTCGTTTATCTGCTCACGTTCTAAAAATAACCCACGACAGGTGAAATCCACGAAGTCGTCAACTTAAAATTTTACAATTATTACCTCCACCAAGGAGGTTATGTTTTTGCCGGCGTTTGTCTGTTTGTTAGTTTGTCTGTTTGTCTATTTGTTTGTTTGTTGTCTGTTTGTCTGTTTGTTGTTCTGTTTGTTCTGTTTGTTTGTTTGTTTGTCTGTTAGCAACATAACTCAAAAAGTTATGGACCGATTTTGATGACATTTTCAGGATTTGTTGGAAATGTGAAAAGGAAGAACTGATTTCATTTTTGGGGGTGATCCGGAAGAAATCCTGGATTCTGGATCACTTTGAAATTTTAGTAAACATTGTGGTAAATGGGGCCAAAAATTTAGTTTCTCAATATCTGGGTTTGAAATTATTGACCAAACCCCATGAAATTTGACTCAGGGATGGACAATGGGATTTTCCTCCTTCTTTTTCATATTCCCAAACTGACACCTGTAACACAAATATTTATGAAAAGGACTCACCTGAGTTCAGGGATGGAGAGCTCTGTATCTCATGGAGGTAAACACGGCAATTGCCCGATCGCGGTTTGCGGACAAACTGCTTGGTGTTCTCTCTCTTAAGTCCAAGATTAGTCCTGGTTTAGACCTGGTTTAGACCTGGTTTAGACCCGACCCCGACCGTGTGTAAAAAGAAAAAAACATGCAATGGACGAGGTTGAGGAGCCAGTAGAACAGTGCCACCAGTGCACAGGTAAACCAGAACTAACACCAGGACTAAAACCAGGACTAAACCAGGACTAAACCAGGACTAAAACCAGGTCTAAACCAGGACTAAAACCAGGACTAAAAACCAGGACTAAACCAGGACTAAAACCAGGTCTAAAACCAGGACTAAACCAGGACTAAACCAGGACTAAACCAGGACTAAACCAGGACTAAAACCAGGACTAAACCAGGACTAAAACCAGGACTAAACCAGGACTAAAACCAGGACTAAACCAGGACTAAAACCAGGACTAAACCAGGACTAAACCAGGACTAAACCAGGACTAAAACCAGGACTAAACCAGGACTAAAACCAGGACTAAACCAGGACTAAACCAGGACTAAAACCAGGACTAAACCAGGACTAAACCAGGACTAAACCAACTAAACCAGGACTAAACCAGGACTAAAACCAGGACTAAACCAGGACTAAACCAGGACTAAAACCAGGACTAAAACCAGGACTAAACCAGGACTAAAACCAGGACTAAACCAGGACTAAACCAGGACTAAAACCAGGACTAAAACCAGGACTAAACCAGGACTAAACCAGACTAAACCAGGACTAAACCAGGACTAAAACCAGGACTAAACCAGGACTAAAACCAGGACTAAACCAGGACTAAAACCAGGACTAAACCAGGACTAAACCAGGACTAAACCAGGACTAAACCAGGACTAAACCAGGACTAAACCAGGACTAAAACCAGGACTAAAACCAGGACTAAACCAGGACTAAAACCAGGTCTAAAAAGCAGCAGTGAGCTCATATAAAAAGCATTTCTCTATCAATAATATTTTTAATCTGATCAAGGAAAGGCTGGACTTTTTATTTTCTTTTAACAGACAAAACTTCTTATGTTCAGATTTTCTAGTCTTTGTTTCTCTACAGTAAAACAAAAGTCTGTTCATGGAGACTTGGGCTCAACAGACAATTTGAAGAAAACAAACAAGAATTTTCAGGATGTGGTTGGTACATTCATGTAGTTTTAAAAAAACATGACAATATCAAGTAATCCAAAGTATTCAGATTACATTACTCACTTTAAGTAATTTAATGGATTACGTTACAAACTACATTTTGGGGTATGTAATCTGTAATCTGTAGGGGATTACATTTTAAAAGTCACCTCCCCAACACTGTTTATGGGGAGTCTGCAGTGTTCCACAGTCAGTGTTGGGGAGTAACAGATTACATGTACTGGAGTTACGTAATCAGAGTACAAATTATGAGTAACTGTATTCAGTTACAGTTACTGTTTCAGTGAGTGGTAATTGGATTACAGTTACTTTGTTGAAATAAATGGATTACATGACGATATTTTCCTGTTTTCACATTTTGGGCTATTTCCCCCCCACCCCTTTTTTTTTTCTCTCGGTAATTTCACTCATTGCCGGAAACTAAACCAGGACTAAACCAGGACTAAACTAGATCTAAACCAGCTCTAAACCAGGATTAAACCAGGACTAAACCAGGACTAAAACCAGGTTTAAAACCAGGTTTAAAACCAGGACTAAACCAGGACTAAAACCAGGTCTAAACCAAGTCTAAAACCAGGACTAAAACCAGGTCTAAACAAAATCTAAACTAGATCTAAACCAGGACTAAAACCAGGTCTAAACCAAGTCTAAAACCAGGACTAAAACCAGGTCTAAACAAAATCTAAACTAGATCTAAACCAGGACTAAAAACTAAAACAGAACTAACCAGGACTAAAACAGGTCTAAAACTAGGACTAAACCAAGACTAAAACAGAACTAAACCAGGACTAAATCATGCTGCATGGACCGTGTCTCCTCGTCTTCTGTCAATAATAGTTTTAATTTGGTTAATTAAAGTCTGGGTTACGATTTCCTGGTCTTTGCTTCTCTACAGCAAATCAAGTAATCCAAAGTATTCAGATTACATTACTCACTTTAAGTAATTTAATGGATTCTGTTACAAACTACATTTTGGTGTGTGTAATCTGTAATCTGTAGGGGATTACATTTTAAAAGTAACACTCCCAACACTGGTCACAGTACGACATTACACGTACAGTATATATCTACACAGAGTCAATCAGGTGAAGGTACCAGGCCAAGCTACAGGTCAGATCTGTGGAGTGGCCGTCCCATTCGAAGAAAGAATGTTTGCTTTTCGAGGTATTTGCACAGCCATTTGAAATACCACAGAGCGTTGTCAGTATAGCAGTAACATCTCCATGGAGACAAGTCAGCGGTGGAGCCTCGTCTCGAAAAAGTCAGTCAGTTTTTAAGAGGATTTATTTGCATTAAAAGCCAATGAAGGAAATAAGCGATGCATATTTTCCGTTCTGATTCCAAATCTCGTCTCTCCGTGACAACCTGTGGTCTGCCTGGTGAGTCGTCTCCTGGAGCGCACACATTATGGGCTCTTTATGTAAATCTGAGGCTGACATTTGAAATCACAGAGCTTAGCGTTTAACATTTGTGTGTGCGTCTAATGGGCAGCGGGGGGCAGTGTTTATGGAAATGAAGAGCTGTCAGCGAACACGCGTCCCGAAGCTCCGATTTACACCACCGGAAGAAAACAGAGCAGGGAATACATGTGCACGCTCCGGATACAGGGAAGGATATCGGGACACTATAGGCGAGTTTGCTGGGAAATATTTTGGTCGGAGGCAAGAAACACGGTAGCGTCAAACACAGTGCGTAACCTCGCGTATTTACCCCCGATAATGGTAAATTCCTGCTGCATTATCGGATGCACAAATAGAAGCACGGAAGAAGGAAAATGTCTTTTTCGTATTCTGAGTGAAAAGAACCGCTAACGGTGAATTAAACGACTTTCAAACATCCGCAGAGCAAACGTAGAAGATCCTAACAAACCGTGGACTCCAACAAGTTCAACAACACATCGAGACTCTTGGAGGTTTTCATCTTTTCTGCTGTGAATGGCCCAGGAGTTTCCACCAAGTCATTGTGGATATCGCCCAAGTGAATATTTGTCCAGGTAGTTGGCGATTCTGACCAGAAATTTGGTTTGGTTTCACCTTTTGTCGGGGTTGAAAAGGGTGATTTGTCGTCCGTCGATGTTTATGATCAATTTCTGGTCAAATGGTCTTGGGTCCTCTGCCGTTAGAGTGGAGAAATAACCGGGATCAATACCCTTTACGTGCTTTCTCGCTCCGTCCGTCATGTTGAATTAGTGTTTCTTGCCGCCGACCAAAATAATTCCCAGCATGCAACGCGCGCTTTTGTCAACAATGAAACTCGCCTATTAGATGGATTTATGACAAATAATATCAGTGCTGGGAAATAACTAAATACATGTACCAAAAATGACTGTGTTCTGGTTTCTCCTTCAGTAGTTGCTGGACACATTGTGGTACTTGATCACACTGTTCCTCATTCCGCCTCATTTACATCAACTCCGTCATGTCTCCGGTCCAAGAGCCATGTGTCGAGTGTAACAATTAGAAGATGAGATGGATTACACCACTGTTGCCACGCTTCCACGAGAGCTTTAATTGTGAATAAAAATGATTCTGAATAAAAATGAACTCTTACACTTAATTCCTGAAGAAAATGATTTTTCAGCATAAAACTTAATTCCGAAGTAAGTGAGTGGTCTATTCCGGTTTTAAAGCCAAATTAATTTATTCCTGGATCATGTAAATGTTTATTCTTCTTAAAAATTATTGCGGTCGTTCAGCGCATGTTTCGTTGAGTCGTCCTTCGATCCGGCTCCACCAGTCCTGGCTTCGGACTTTCATCCACGTCTCTTTGGATTTGTGAGCTGGATGTGGGAGTGGGCTGAGGTAGAGCAGCCTCACACTCACTTTGTCTTCTTCCTCTCTTCTCCGACACTCTTCCCTTCTCCTCCTCAGCTGACAGACGTAAAGTGTGATGAGAGAATAAAGTTTGGATCGTGTTTGTGTCCGTGGCGTAACGACAAACCGAGATGACAGAAAAGCCGGGAGCAGCTGAAGTGTGTGTTTTCTTTCTGTCGACGTAAACACGTTGGTGTCTCTGTCTAATCAGAACCCTTCCCCACCTCCAGACGTTGAGCGGAATTAAATAAAGGTGATTTAGGCTACGTTCAGACTGCAGGGCTTAACGCTCAATTCCGATTTTTTTGTGAAATCAGATGTTTTTGCGAGGTCGTTCACATTTCCAATTAAATGTGACTTGTATGTGACTCCAGTGTGAACATTAAACGGCCTGAAAATGTCCCACATGTGACACTGGAGACACGACGACGTCAACCGCAGCGAGCGTCTCTGTGTTTACAGAAGTTGTTCAAACATGGACGCAGCATCGAGCACCTGGAGATTTTAAAGTTTCCTCTGTACCGGAGCCAGAACATGAACAACTTACTTGTTTTAAGGAGGAGATTGAGAAGGAGAAGGACGAGGTTTTTGGTCGTGGTGTTTTGTGGGACAGCGGCAGCGACGTCCGTTGAAAGGAACGTGTGGATGTGGAGACGGAGCCAAGAGTGGTGAGTGGTGATGTGCTTCACTTCAGTGACATGGAGTTCATTAACAATTTTCGCCTACTTCAGCGCAGAATAGTGACGTTTGTGTCTTGTTGATAACGTGTAGGTGGATGAATGCACTTTGGCCGTTCACACTGAAGTCACATGTCAAAAGATCAGATATGTATCAGTTTCAGGAGCACATATCCAAGTGTCCTGGGTCACATTTGAAAAAATCGGATCTGTGTGGTTCAGACTGACATTAAAAGATCAGATACAGGAACATAGAAGCCAAAAAATCGGATTTGGGTCACTTCAGGCTGCAGTCTGAACGCAGCCTTAGGCCGGCGTACACTTGTACACTGTGCGATTTTTGACCCTTTTTGAGCCGATTTTTCGCTCGTGCGACTGTTTTGGGGATCGGGCCGAGTTTTAGCTTCATCGTGTGTCGTGCTTCGTGTAGTTTACATGGGGTAAAGAGAACCGATTAATGACTCACGACCAGCTCCCGATCGACATTCGTAGGTCGCAAGAAAATCAAACTTGTTTGAAATCCAGTCGCCTCTCGTGAGGATTTCGCTCTGTTGAAGTTGTTCCACGAGCCGATTTGCCAGAATCTGGCAGACTGCGCATGCGCGGACACAGAAGTGGCTCAGCATTGTGTCTCCGCACATCTGTGGTTTTCTAATTCCGTGGTTTTCTTCTTCGTGGTTTTCTACTTCCGGAACAACAACTTTGACAACTCCGGTCGTTATGTGAACGTACAGTGTGAGCAGGCAAGTCGCATCCGAGCATCGGTTCGTTCAGTGTGAGAACATGATTCGTGAGCTGTGAACTTTTAAACCCTGTGATTTGGTCGTACAGTTTAAGCTGGGGCTGAGTGACACGACCGAAAATATCGCACAGTGTACGCCCGGCATTAGCGTGTTTTCCATGTAAACCTCAATTCAGAATTATTATTTCCATGTAAAAACTCAAAGGAGAATATTTTCATTCCGAACTATTTAATTCAGAACAATTAACTCGGAATTAAACGCGGCCTGTGTCACATCTCCAATATGTCTGTGTCTCTGCCAGTGCACACCTTCCCTTTTATTTTTATTTTTTACTTTCACTTTTACTTTTACTTTCACTTCTTGATCCAGCTGCGGAGCGCTGGTGTGGAATGACCACACGGCAGACCGACGTTTGACATGATGAAGTTGGCTGAACTGAGGCGTCAGGCTTCAAACTGCAGAAGTACAAAACGCAGCTCTGGTGGTACAACACGTCTCAAACTGTGAGAAATAAACGTGTTACAGATGGTGCACAAACGCATATGCTGCAGCTCAGTGTGAAAGTAAAAGATTATTTTCCACGTGACCACACACACACACACACACACACACACACACACACACACACACACACACACACACACACACACACACACACACACACACACTCACTGACCTTCTCCAGCTCGCCGCTAACCAGGCGCCCGTCTTGGTTCGCGTCTAGATATTTGAACATGGCGTCCACCAGAGCCCTCTTCTGGTCCATGTCCCTCTGGCTCTCCTTGGAGCTCACGGGCGCCCCCTGCTGTGAGCTCTGCGCGGGGGGCTGCAGGTCCAGGAGCAGGCTCTTCAGACGGTTGTACTCAGACATGGTGCAGGCGTTTCCTACAAACAGACACACAAACAACATGAGAGTCCGATCCAAGGCCTTCAGAACGGTGAAAAGTTCGGATTGTTGCCATAGTAATTACCAATTCAAAACTAAATATTAGGGACGGTTTACTCAGATATCGGTATTGGTCTGATATGAAAAAGTCGCCCATATTTGGCAATAAAGTTTTTTAGTTTTTTTTCTGCACTGCTCTACATTTAATTATTTTTACACAGTGAAAATGTGTAAACTCCACCGTAACTTAAGTCAGGTTCTCACAGGCAAATATCGAATATCGTCCACAACATTAGAGCAAATATCGGATACAAGTGTGGGTGCTAAATCACATCGGATCATCACTACAAATAGTCTTTTGAACGGTCAGTTATCCTCGAAATGACGCCATAACCGCAAACTGAAACCAGAAGAAACGATTCGGCATTTCTCTGTAGAAACACTTGTAGGGATGGGCATTCGATGAAATTTTCTTAATCGATCGTCGGAAGAATTAACGATCCATTATCGATTAATCATTCACGTTTTTATATTAAAATGATCATCATTATTATTACTATCTGCACTACTAATCTGCATAAATAAATTCAACTTTACGACATATAAACCGTAACGACTCTAGAGCCACATCAGCCCGTTTGACATTATAATGTGTTTAATTCAGTTTTGTTCAAATCTCACAGAAACAAAACTTAAAACCACATCACTAATTTGCATAAACTCAGCGAAGATAAAACTCCAGCTCTTGTGTCGCTGATGTGGTTCAATTTCTGTTGGATTAAAAGACATGACTCAGGTGAATACAGGTCAGTGTGACCAGATTTGCGTTTGTCAAAACCAGGACAGCGTACGGGGGGAGGGGGGCGGGGCCTCGTCATCCACATTGAGCGACTCTCACCTGGTAAAACTTTTTCCCACTGGACACAGAAACATATGTGCTGCTTTATACACTGTGCACATGGACTCACACTTGTCCCAACGCAACAGAAAGTGTGGAATTTCTTGTACAAATCCTCGTTAAATCCACATTTGTGCTTCGGTTCGTTACAGACTGACCCACTGTTTGTGTCTCGCTCCTTCTGATGCAGAGACACATGTACACACCTGTTTAGTCACGACACACACACAAACATACATTCAGTTTGTCGATTAAAATGAACGTAATCGATGAAATTCTTAATGAGTTTATACTACTATATAACTCCATCTTCTCATTGTTCCTTTTGTGGTAAAGCTTATTCACTAATGCACAGCTCTGAAAACCTCAAACTTACAGGCCAACGAGTTCTATGAGTAGGACTGAGGGATGGGAGGGTGTGGAAGGGAGTGTCAACTTTTTGGGGCTTTCTACCATGTTATTTGTTCATTGTTCCCTCATCGAAAACATGCCTGATGAGGTTTTAGATGTTATCATGTCTGTTTGAGTAATCTAGTGATCTCTCTCAGGCCCTGTTTGAACCATCCTTACAGTTAGCCGCAGAGGTGGGGAGTTGCATGTCATGACTTGGACTGTTTTGAGACTTAATAAAAGTGATTCAAGAGTTTGGACTGGACTGGAGCCATAAGACTTCAGATGATTTAATGATTCTTGAAAAAAAAACAAAAAAAAAACAAAAAACATGTACCTCCTTACTTGTCCCTTTGTCACTAGGGATATACACTGAAGTACTGTGATGCTGTGTGGTCAGATGTCTTACAGTAATACTGGCACAGTCAGTAAATTATATAACAAGCCACTTTGCTTAAATTCATTATTTTCATGCAGCAACAGCTAAACTGCAGAGAACTACATAAACCGTGATCTATTTCAGTGTAGAAAACATGATGAAAGAACTGTTAAACTCATGCATCTTAATTCTACGCATCATTATTAGTAATGACTCACATTAAGCTCTGGTCATGGAGCATTTCCACAATCCTCACTAACATATTGTAACACATATTGTGTGTGTACTGTGAAATGTAAGGCATGGTTCAGATGTTTTAAAGTAGTACAGTTCTGTTTAAAAAGTATACAAATTGCAAAAAAATACAACATGTATTCAGTACTTCAGTTTAAAAACTTGAAATCACTTGAAGCAGAGGACTTGGACTTGACTTGGACTTGGGGGCCATTGTGGAACAAATGTACCTTTATACCACTGACTCAGGACTCGACTCAGACTTGAAGCCAAAGACTTGAGATTTACTTGAGTCTTGCAAAACAACAACTTGGTCCCACTTCAGGGGAGCAGAACAAGTCTGTCCAGGACTTAACCCAAAAGCCTTTTTTAACCAGAGCAGCGCCACCCTGTGGAATATTAACATCTCCATGAAGACAAGTCCAGAAAACTCCCATAGTGCATCTTTAAATATGGTTTTCCAGGCGTTTGAGGAGAGCCGGTGTGTGTCAAGTGTGTGAAAGCCTGAGCAGTGACAGTGAGCAAACAGACTGGATGTGTCATTTGCTTCTATAACAGTGTGTGCTGGTGTTTTGAAGAGGGCTCAGGAGCTGCATTCTAAAGGATCAGACGTGTTTGTACACAGTATCCTGGGCTTTTCTATACGCTCTAATTAATGAGACCTAATCCAGGGACAACAGCAGTGCACACTGAGTGAATCCTGCAGCGCTGGATACGAGAGCTATTCACTGTGTTTGTGCAGGATCACACTCTCAGTGTGACACAAATGTCTCCAGTCAGAGTCATGTCATTTCTGGAGGTTTAGTTCCTGAAAGGTGCAGAGGAAATAAAAGTTATATTTTATGTTGAAGAAAGCTGACATCCTAAATCTGTATGAAATCATTAAAGGCACATTATGCAAAATCCACTTTCTGGAGCTTTCTATCATCTTATAACACTGTTCTCTCACCAGACATGACTGAAGAGGTTTTAGACGCTATCCATGCATGTTTGAGTAATCTAGTGATCTCTCCCTATTCAAACTCACAGTCTCTGCCCACAAGCCTACGTCACTATGTTCCTGCAGGCCCATTTTCAGTAAATATGCACAAGCATGACCCAAACTATACACTACAACTTCACAAACCTGATGCAGTGAGCAGGACTTTCATGAACACGCTGACTGTATTATGATCTAAGACTGTATGTAGAAATGGGCAGAGCTGAACCGGCACGTTCCAAACAGGAAGGCAAGACAAGTTTATTTGTACAGCACAATTCGTACACAAAGTAATTCAAAGTGCTTTACAGAATAAGAAATACATTAAAATCATAATAAAAACAAATCAAAACATAAATAATCATGAAGATTAAAATTAAAAAAAGAGAGACATAAATTGGAGAGAAGAGTGCAGAATGAAAACCTTTCAGTTATTTGCACAGTTAAACAGAAATGTTTAGAGTCTGGATTTAAACAGCGTCACAGAAGAGTCTGTCTCACATGTTCAGACTGTTCCAGGTTTTAGCTGCATGAACCTGAAACTCTGACTCCCCTTGTTTAGTCGTGACTCTGGGCACCAGCAGGAGTTGGTCCCTGAGCTCCTCAGAGTGTGAGATGTTCATATGACACTAACATGTCACAGATGGACTTTGGTGCTCGGCCATGGAGACACTTGTACAAACAGAGACGCTTTAAAGCACAGGTGTCAAACATGCGGCCCGGGGTCCAGATCCGGCCCTGCAAGACCTTTAATCTGACCCTCGGCTGATTTTCTACAAAAATATTTCAATTCTATTTTTTATTAAAATCTTGTTAATTTTCTGTGGTGTTTATCACAGCAGCGTCTCCAGCGTCTCTGTACGTGGCCCCTCCCACCAGAGCAGCACAAATGAAGACTTGTCTCTTTCCAAACGCTCTTAAAGGACGATCGTTTTGACTGTTGACCGTGACACCCTCATCAGAAAAATGTCCAACATGAGAAAAGTGGAGCCGAGTGCAGGATTTTACAACAAAAATTGACTTATTCCTATTTATACAAGTTAATGTTAAACAAGTTCATGTTAAAACTTTGTGTTGAAATTACATTTTTCTTAAAGTTTCAGGTTGTTCATAATATTATAATATTTTGTAAAAGAAAGAGTTCATCAATTAAAAAAGATTTCTGTAATAGATTTGTGTTTCTCTGCACAAATATTTGAACTTATTGTTATTTTTGGGGTTTATATGACATGAGTTTTCTGATCCGGACACTTTGGGATCAAAGTCAGTTGGATACGACCCCCGGACCAAAATGAGTTTGACAGTCCTGCTTTAAAGTCTCTGAGCCACAGGAGCCAGTGCAGAGACCTGAGACCAGGACTTATGTGCTCGTACTTCCTAGTTCGAGTCAGGACCCGAGCTGCAGCGTTCTGGATGTTCTGGATGTTCTGGATGTTCTGGATGTTCTGGATGTTCTGGATGTTCTGCAGCGTCTCACAGCTCGTTTGGAGAGACCAGTGAGCAGAACATTACAGTATCTAACCTACTGGAGACAAACGCATGGATAAGTTTCTCCAAGTCTGATTTAGACAGTAAACCTTTGATTTTTGACATGTTTTTTAGATGGTAAAAGGCTGCAGATGTTTTGAGTTGACTTTAGATGTAAGATTGATGATGCATAGTGTAAAGGAGATGTTGATTGATTTGATGTGGCTGTTAAAGTTCAAGTCTGAGGAAGTGAGCATGGGCGCTCTTTTCCGGCTCCAGTTCACTTTCTATTGAAAAACTGTCACCTCTCTCTCTCTTATTTTGGTAGAGATGATGAGCTTCATTTGACTGGAGCGAAACACTCCTTTAGTCCACTTCTTTATGCTCGTGATAGTGCTCTGAAGGGGCAGTGACTTAGCGCGGTGACTCGTTTTTGCCCTCTCTCCCCCTTTCCTCTCTCCTGTTTGTTTCTCTCTTTTCTTTGTGCTGAGCGTTTGCCTCGACTCAGAGCGATGTGTGTGTTTTATACTTTTTACGCTTCATCCTTCACCTCTCTCTCTCTCTCTCTCTCTCTCCCTTTCTTCTGGCTCTCTCTTCCTCTCTCGCTCCATCTCTTTCTCTCCAGACTCTCTCTCTTTCTGTTATTGTTCTG